CTCAAAATTATGGGCACCTTTTGGCTACAGATTATATTATGGTAGTTTCTCAAAATAAGGGGACCCCAATATAGTCCCCAAAATATTACCAATCCTTATTATGGGGACCCCCAAGAAGGTGTCCATAATTTTGGGACACCCTTATATTACGGAACCTATTATGTAAGGTTGCCAAGGTTAGACCCTAAGCTTGGGAACTACCCCACATGCAGATTTTGCGAGGTGACTGATGCTTCTTGCTGGGCCTCTAGGTAGGGACATCCCCCAAGTTTAAGGCTAGAGTTTAGGGTTTCGGGTTATGATCTCCTGCAGTCCCATGTAATTACTATTCTAGATACCACGTTTTACCCACTTGCTGCGAATTTCCGCGGTTCTGACGGCCCTAATCGGAGCGCCAGCATAGTTAAAAGCCCAGCATAATTCTACTTCCCGGGCATAACCCAACTCCAACAATGTCAGAGGAGTTAGGGGGCCTCTCTATCATGGGGTTAGAACTACAGCTACATTGCCCTGGTTTTTCAAGTACAGAATGGCTCGAGTATCCGAAGGTGCCTGAACTGCACATGCTTCAGAAATAGCATGTCCCCCTCGAAGATACTCACCTGAATTGAAGATGGGTACGGTTGATTCTAGATTGAAAAAGTCTTGCATGACCTCGCGGTTTATGGTATTAGAGTATACCACAGGATTTTCAGTATCAAAAATGCCCTAAGCCCTGGACCCTAAATACAACCAAAACCCTAAATAAACCCTAAACCCCAAGCCTAAATAAACCCTAAACCCTGACAAATTGGTCGTTTCGCCAGGCAGTGGTCTGAAAAAAATCACCAGAGCCCCTTACTTCGTGGCTTTTGTTACGTCTTTGGGAACCTACGTACGGGGTTTAGGCTTTAGGGCTCCACTGGGCTTATTTAGGGGATAGAATGTATCGGATAGAATGCATGAGGTTTCCTCAAGTAGACCCCGTCACTAAAGCTGAACACCTCAACCTTAGCCAAGCCGCAACCACGCAATTCAGGACGCTCCTGACTAGAGATCTGTATGCTTCAAGTTTTTGCCTGCTGTAAAGACATCAACACTAGGAGAAACGGAGATTACTTGATGATTGGGTATTGCAGGGCCGACAGGTAGTACGTCTAACAGGTCCTTAACACGGTACTCCTACGCTTCCCATCCTAAGCTTTAGAGCTTCTATAGTCAGACTTCGAAGCCCTATTCAAAATCCCCAAGCCAGCAAGCAGCTTTTGTGAGTGAAACCCTGGTTTGGGTTGCTATCAAGGAACTTAGATCGGGTTGGCATTAACAACGTCCCCATATTATAGTAGCTCAGCCTAAAGTCCTTTACAGAGACCCCAGCCATCTGGTGTCTTGTGAGGATCTGAAGCTCCTGCGGAGTATTTTCAATCCTACCATCTCGGACCGTGCCCAGGATGAATCATTGTTGTCGGAGTCCAGGTTAGGGTTCAGGGTTCAGGGTTGAGGCTTTAGGTTTCCGATCTTAGGATTCCGTGTTTAAGGAGCCACCCGGTCAAACAACATATGGTAGTTTCCCTAAATTACTGCTCCGGAAATTTAGATAGGGCCCCGTATTATAATGGGAACCCAAATATAGGACCCCGTATTATAGGGAATTTAGAGCAATACCCATATTAAAACACTGCAAAAGTAGGCAATTGCGGGAGCATTGTCTCTATGCACCACTGTTTGGCGTTCTACTTTGGCTGGTAGACCTCCAACTCAGCGGGGACCGCAAGGCGCTTCATTGTATAAGGCTTCAAGACTAGGAGGTTCCGCCGGCCAAAAGACAAGACCTCTTCTATTCGAAAAAGGGGCTCGCTGATCTCAGCAACGTTCAAGACAGGAACTACTACTGTCTACCTTCCAACACATGCCAAGTGCTCTGCTACAGGCGTGCCTTTGGGGTCAATCCAAAAACCTAAGCCCTAACCATTCTCAGAATTGGCGGCCCCTGCTGCAACCAGCAAGCCACCTAGAGTTGCCAAACCTTTAAAATCGGCAATGATACCAAATGTGTGGTACAAAAACCGTTTTATGAGATACATTGGTTACTTGGTTACAGGGACCCTAGACCCTAAACCCTAATTCAATTCCCGATGGAAGGTCGCTTTGGCACTACTCCCCCTGAAGGGTTTAGGGTTTAAGGGTTAAGGGTTTTAGGTTGAGATCGGGTGAGGTCGCCTTACATCGCCCAATGGTTACTCTGGGTCGAGCCTAAGCTCTAAACCCTTAAACCGTAATCCCTTGACTCTATAATAAACCCTAAATCCTGATCCCTAGACCCTCAAACCCGCATCCCAAAATCCTACCACCCTAAACCCCAAAACGCTACGTGAACCCTTGAACCCTAAATCCTAAACCCATAACCCAAAACTCTTAAACCCTAAACCCTGAAACCCTAAAGCCAGAGCCTAAAGCCTTACCACCGCCGAAAGGCATAGCAACCGTCTTCCTGGGCCAGTTGCTTGCCTCGAAAGGGCGCCAGAAGGAAGGCTTGAGCGTTTGGAGTCGAGGGTGTAGGGTTCAGGGTTTTGGGTTGAGGGCTCAACATTGGCTAGTTTACTTGGAGCTGCGGGAGTAAGGTTTAGGTTCTAGGACTAGAGTGCTTGTGGATGTACTGTGATCCGTCCTCTTTGTACTGTGATCGGCTCTTTGTACGCGGATCGGACCCAAAAGCCCCCTTAACCCTAAAGCCTAAACCCCTAAACCCTAAACCCCTGAATCCGTAACCCTAAACCCTACCCTACCGGCTGACAGGGCTTCCTGAAGACTTTTTGGGCTCCTGTGGCATTGCGAAGGCACAAAAGTGTAATCGAGCCCGAAGCCTACGCCTAGGGTCTCTTATCATTACTTAGGGTTTGGGGGCGTCATTTGGGTGATGATTTTGAGATTAAGGAAATTTGGAAACCCAAAGTAATGGTAAGCTTACATGGGCTTGAGGGTTTAGGGCTCACGGCTTCGGACTTCTGAGCCCGGAGCCACTAGGTCTAAACCCCTGACATCTTGCATCTAATCCCTGACACCAAAACCCCGAGCCCTTGATCTTAACCCCTTTGCTCATCCTCTAGCCGAGCGTCGGATCAGGATGTCTACGGAACCCTTCCCTGACAACAGTTGAAAGATTTCTCCAAGTAGGGAATCCCTAGGGTGTATAGACATCATAAGAGCTATAGCCTAAACGCCTGGCATCCCCTTTTATGAGCCCCATATGATCTCCTAAAAAACACACCCCCTTTAGGGAGAGAGATTAGTCTATGGCTCGTCAGGAGTTTGTGGGGGCTACTTTTATGGATTCTAGAGGGATTGTTTTGGGAAACTCTCACGTCCTGCAACACCCATCAGCATGAAGAGCATGTAGCTATATGGTGTATACTTGGGCCTTGAAGTAGGTATGTGCCCCTTTGCGCCCTAAGCATATACCATAGACCTACATGGACCCTTTGGAAAACCTAGACATTCAATCAATGCGGTTTAGGGTTTAGTCTGCCGAGTAGCACAGTGCCAACCCGATTCCCGAGTTGCCACCGGTCACAACAACGCGCTTCATTGCGGCTCGGGAGGTAAATATATCTTCTCTATACGCAACGCTCCAGTGAAGGAAAATTCACTCTTCAGAGCGCTAACCTAAGGCCCTGAAACTTTTTGAGACGTCGAAGGCGCAGCTGAAGCCCAAATGTTCCGGCGCGAAGAATGACTCGTGCTGTTGTGGACCTTACAAGCTACCATAGTATGGAACCTCACCGCCGTGTCAAAAAATATAGTCATGTCGCAGGGCAGGGTCCATGTTTCGCATCCTCTTGGGAGTCTGAGCAGTATGGGCTTAAGGTTTCTAGTTAGACAAGCTGGGTCCAAATGGGTTCTTGTATAACTGGTACTTAGGGTCAACAGTATTTACTACTCTGGCACTTGGACCCGTAGGGCTGAGTGAGTCTGCACATAATATCCTAAGCGCAGAATCAGGTGGGAAACCGAATGGACTCCAATACAATGTGAACCAAGGCTTCTATGGTGGTATCATGATAAATGATACCTACGATAGGTTTTAAGAGCCATAGCTACTACTTTTCTTGTGTTTTACTGTCTATGACTAATATCTACGCTTCACGTCGACGATGGTACCAACTGATACCTACTACCGGCATTGGGAGCCCTAGGGTAGGGTGGGCGTGTGCCATGACACTAGGAATGCCGGCCGAATGCTAAGAAGGTTATTTGGGTAAGATAATTATTGGGTCCTAGTTGACGGGGTAGAGCCTGCCAAATCCGCTTATTGAAGGCTTGGTACTCCATCCCGAGTTGCTGTGCTCATCAAGTAGGTTCTTGACTTCCGGCCTGCAATCTAAATCACTGCTAAAGAATGCTAAGCCTCAACTCGCCTAACCCTGAACTTGACATCCTCAACCCTACCAGGGCTAAGCCAAGGAAGCACTTGATATAAGCCCCAAACCCTGAACAAACTGCAGCGCTGGGCTTTGGAGCTCTTGATTTCAGAGACCCAAACCTTCAAGCCTTAAAGCGAAACTCTTCTGGCACAAAGGCCTAGGCCCCCACAAGTTTTTGAATATAAAGAGGGTACGAAAACAATTCCATGAAACAAGGTCTCAATTCTCAGTGGACTGGGGCCTAAAACCCCAAGCCTGAACCCTAAAACCATAACCCTAAAACCCTGAACAATGTTTGCAGGGTCTGGCTAAGGACCTGCAAGGTCTATCCGTCTCAGAATCTGAACCCTGCATACCTCCTATGTCAGAGGTGAGGGTTTAGGGTTTAGGGGGTCTACCCTGAACCCCAACCCGATGCTTATACATACAAAACTTGCCTGGACCCCAAAAGTATGTAAAATAATGGCCTTTATGGCTGTTATTATGGTTTCAGGGCTATTATTTTACATACTTTTGGGGTTTAGGTAACCTTAAAGCTGTACCCTAAACCCTAAACCCTAAACCCTTAGGTGTAAACCTTAGGTAACCCCTTTTCATTTCTTAGGCCGCTTCTGGCGCGCGGTAGGACAGAAGTGAGTGCTGGGCTCTGACATGACTAGCCTCCAGTAGCAGCTGAACCATTTCCTTACTGGTGGTTCTAGGGTTTAGGGTTTAGGGGACCTATAACAATTTATCTTTATGACCTTATAAGGATACATAGGAATTAAGGGTAGTGAAACTTAAAAACCATGTTCAAACCTAGCCCTGGGTTGGTAGAGAAGTGAGGAATGGAAACATCAACTATATACCACATCATGTAGGGTACCACTATCTACCAATCACTGGTCAGTTTCATGATGCCCTCCTTGCACGGCCGCGGAAAGGGCGGTTGCACCGTCGTTGCTGGCCTTGTCCTTGTCGGCATTGGCCTCCAACAGCAGCCTAACAATTGCCAACTGGCCTCTAAGCGAGGCTTTCAGCAGCGGAGTTGCGCCGTTAGCGTCTGCATTGTCGTACGCAGCATTGGTTTCCAGAAGAAGCTGAACAATTTCCAAGTGGCCACCAAGCGAGGCCATATGCAAGGGCGTCGAGCCATTATGAGTAGACTTATCCTTATCAGCATTGGCCTGCAACAGCACACTCACCACATCCGTGTGACCACCGCGGGAGGCCATGAACATGGGGGTTGCGCCATAGCTGCCTTGACTGCTTGTGGAATTCCCTAGTGAACGTTTGACTTGTAGCTCCCTTCACGTGAAATGGAGGAACCCCAAAGAAACAAAAAGTGCTAAGTTGTGGTAAAGTCCACCTAGCTGCCAGTTTTGTCCTTGTCAGCCTTCATCTCCAGCAACATGCGAACAACTTCCACGCAGCCTCTTCCTTGATTTAGGGTGTAGGGCTGCTACGGAACACGTCAAGTAAGCTGCCATAACAAAGATCGTTGGTAGATTTTGTAGTTACTCCTTATGATGACAATCTTGTTTGGGAGTTTGTCAAGATTAGGGTAATTTAGGGACCCTCGGGATATATGGGGATTGTATCACGATTTTTGGGACCATTAAATAAAAATCGAGATGTTGATAAGCTTCGGTTTGAAGCTTCCTTGACAAACCCTAAACCCCAAACACAGCTGGAGCCTTTTTGTAGGGACATTTGTTGAAAAGCTCGCCTTTTAAGCTAACTTTTCAGTTCCTTAAACTCTCTTCCCCAACAACCAGGACCAAAAAAGTTTAAACTTTATTATAGAGACCCCAAACGAAAGCCTAAAAAGGTTAGAGTTGTTCTATTGGCTAAGTAAGTAAAAGCAAGCCAGCTTCCAGAGGCTGCAAGCATCGGAGCATCTCCGGTTGAGGTCCCATTCTCATGGTCGGCCCTGGCTTCCAGAAGCAACTGGACAGCTTCAATACAGCCGTTGGCACACGCAACATACCTTTTGCTGGGTTGCTGTTAAGGAACTTCACATATCACCGTAAGAAGGAAACCCTGTTATTCGCTATATACCCATATCATGGCAACTTAAAACCCCAAACCCCTAAACCCAGTTTGTTGCTCGTTACTCACACACAGAAGAACCTCAATGCGTCTCTCTGTTTTTGCGAAAAAAAGCGGAGCACCCAAAGTGGTTGAAGCGCTAAAGCTGTACCTGAACGCCAAATTTAGTTTTTTTTTGTTTTTCAAATTTAGGGTTTAGGGTTTAAGGCTAGATTTGCTAGATTTAGGGGTTTTGGGCTATTATTTACTTACTTTTGGGGTCCAGGTAGAAATCCCACCAAAATGCAGAGGCGATGTCAATCCCCCGGGACCCAAGTCCGGATCCTGTGGCCTCTGTAAGAGCTCCTCCATCGTCGCTGTGTGGTTCTTGCGTGCAGCCTGTTGGAGTTGCGCAACTTGAGCCTCGGAGCTTGCTTCGAACGGCAGCAATATAAGCTGGACGTCCAATGGACCCAACAGCACAACATCGTCCAATAGCATCTCGCCATCCGGCAGCAGCAGCCGTTGCCTGAAGCGCGGCTGCCCGCAGAGATGCTGCAGATGGCGCTTGACAGTCCGTATCCGCACTGGCTGTTCGTGCATGGGGGCCATCTCCACAACACGGATTGCGAGGGCTTCTTCGCCTGAAGTCTTGAACCTTGGAATTCGCAGAGGTACGACAAGACATGATTCTTTTTTAGCTTAAGTTAAACTGGATAAAGTTCAGGTTCAGGTCTCACCTTCACATACACATGAAAAATCTTCAGCAACAGGAGCCAAGAACACTCGTAACATCCCACACCGCGATGGCTGGGGCAGGAGACGGGCATGGCATTGCTAAAAGGTCTGGTGCTTTCAGGCAGAGTCATTTACTAGGGTTTGGGGGTTTAGGGTCTAGGCTTTAGGGTACTATTTAGGGCTTATAGGGTTTAGGATGTTTCTCAGATGGGAGATGTTTAGACTGACCAGGTGATAATAAAACCCTCAGCCCTAAACCCTGCTCGTAATTTTTTAGCCGGAAACAAGCCATGTTGGGACCGCTGTTGAAAAAACTGTCATTTCGGGTGAGGGCTGGTTGGGAAAATTGCGGCTTCTTTTTTGTTCTCTACCGTAACAAGGGCCAAGGTGCACCATTGGAGTTTTTTGAACACAGTCCCAATAGAGTCCTTTCGGGGGATTCACTACAATCTTCCTGCGATCCCACGTATTCCCAGGGTAGCTCATAGGACCCCTGTTCCTGATTGAGGGTTTGGGGTAGAAGCCGCACAGCACTTATCCGCATGGTCCAGGGCGCGGAATTGCATGTACTGGTCTGAAATGGTATGATTCCTGCAGCTTCTAATAAACCCGTCGCCGATCCCACTCAGATTTTCGCTTGCCATAGAGCCCTGGCTTACATGCAGCTTTCCAGTTAAGCAACGTTTGTTGGCGGTTCAGCAAAGCAAAATTACATTCGTATTGTAAAACACCACAGCCAGAAGGATGTAATCCTACTCTATGTTAAGGACTCAGTGAGCCCAAAATAACCCTAAACCCTGAACCCTAAACCTAGACTTCTGAGCTGACTATCCCTGGGCATCCAAAGTGCACAAAT